GCTCTATCTTCTTTCAAGCCAAAATTAACATCAATCAATTTTGTTCTTGCTAAAAGTTTCATGACCATTCCTGATGTCATAATAGGTGTTATCCCCAGTTCCATCAGTGTGCCTCTGTTGGAAGCAAGAATTACACATAACTGATATAAAGGATCAGATGAATCAGATGACATTATGCCATACAATGGAATTTGTGAATACACCGAAAAAATAAGGAATGTGACTGCTGTCCACAAAATTCTTTCTTCGACGTATAGCTTCATCACATAAAACATGTTATTATTGTGAAATTTTTATCAATAAAATAAACTTTTTTTCAAATCAATGATGCTAACCTTTTTTTTAGGGGCCGTAACTTCTGGAAGTATGGCCATGAAAGGCCTGAGGACATTCAGAAGTCGAACTAGGAAAATAATTAGCTTTAAAAAGAACAACAAAAAAAAAAAGATTATTATTATTATTATATTATTATAATACTCACAACTCATTGTATAAATGGTATTATATGGGTGGGTTAGGGGAAAAAAAGTAAAATTATTGAAGAAGTTACACGCGTTGTGTTATATATAGTAGATCACATAAAAAAGGATTTAATAATGAATGGTCGAACGGTCAGCCAGCTAAAAAAAACAGTTTCAAGAAAACTCACCTGATCAAAATTTTCAGATATATTGAATTAGATAATGATTTAGATATTTTCAGCTACATCATTGCATAGTCTTGGAAATCAAGGACTTGAATGTTGGCCAATCAAATCAATTAACGAATTTTTCTTTTAAATGTTTCCTTCTAAATAAAATAAATAATAAAAATTAACAAAAGAGAGCTCATGTCACGAAGGGTCAATACACCCAGCATAAGCCAACAGCAAGGGTTCTACTCTCTTCCTTGCTGGACTTTACAGTTGGTCCAAAGTAGGACATGCACCCAAGGGAGCCAAACATAATAGTTCACGTCATTGACATGAAATCAGATCAGTGTTGAAAATTCAGCGTGGGGAATGCGGGATGTAACATTACACCAATCAAATTTTGGAAATAGTTTCTAAATTTGTACACGAAATTTCAACGCTGAACTAAATGATCTGTAAATTTTAATTTATTGTATTATTATTTATTTATAATTAAAGCAATGAAAGTTGGTAAGAGTTAATTTGGTTAATTTAATTTTCTTTGTATGTTTATATGTTATATAGTTTTTGATAATATTATGTAAATAGCATGTCTTCAGTTTAATCCTATACTCGAACAAGTAGAAAGAAATCAAAATTTTGCCTCCGAATTACTCTCGAAGTATATCAAACAAATTTTTTATTATTGGTTTTTTATTTTTCAATTATTTTCCTAACAAAAATCTTATAATGTAGTTATGGTCCAGGTGAAATTGATATTTTGTTGCTTCCAGAAATGGCCTTTACAGGTATTTTTTGTTGGTCAGAAGATTTCTTTGAAAAAAAAGTATCAATATTATCTTTATTTTTATAAGGATACGTTTTCACCAGTAAGGATCATATAAGACCATATCTAGAAGATGCAGAAACTGGCACCACAGTTCAATGGGCAAGATCCCAAGGTAAGCATATTTTTCATAGAAAGATACATATATATTAATTAATTAACCAATGTGTGTTCAATCGTAATTAGTAACTTTGGTCCAACTACTATTTTCTTGACCCTAATTCAATTAAAGCAACAAGATTACAAGCGTTTGTTATGGTAGGATATCCTCAAATAATTAAAGGTATTTATTTGTTTAAATTACAAATAAATCACATATTCACTTTTACACCTGTATATATTAATGCCTATCCTCAATCTGAACACATTTTTATTTAGGAAAACCAGATAAATATTACAACAGTATTTGTTTAGTTGATCGATCCGGTGAACTTATCACAACATATCAGAAAACACATTTATACGAGACTGATGAGAATTGGGCTGAGGAAGGCCCAGGGTTCAAATCAATACACATACCTACATTAGGAAAGGTTAGCAAATCTTCTTTTATTGATTCAGAAATGGGCTTGTTGTTTTCTATATTCTTTTTATTAAACTAATTGATTAAATCATTATTGAAGGTGGGCTTAGCAATTTGCATGGATCTGAACCCTTATAGATTCCAGGCTCCCTCAGATGAATTTGAATTAGCTCGTTTTCATCTACGAGAAAAAAGTAAAATCATACTATGCTCAATGGCTTGGCTGAAATCAAGTGAATGTGTTAACAGTGAATTGTTATTGGATAGTTATGATGAACCAATCCATGATACTTCAAATATGAGATATTGGTGTTATAGATTACTACCATTATTTGACGATGAGGCTTTACAACAAAATGATGATGCTAATAATACTAGAGAATCTGAAAATGATAAAGTGTTGTTCGTTGTATGTAATCGTACTGGAACTGAAAATGGTAATAGTAAAATCTTTTCCCCTTACAATCATGTGAAACAATCTCTAATTTTTATTAATTAAATAAATGTGTATGTGCGTATGTATGTATGTGCGTACATAGGTTCATCATTCTGTGGGACAAGTAGTGTTATAATATTATCACCAAATACTTCAGCTGAATTATTAGGAGCATTGGAAGTTAACGAAGAAAATGTTCTTGTGGTTGATGTGCCATAATAACAACAATATGATTACTATTCACATTAATTAATTAATTTAATTAATTCTGTTTTGTTGTCATCTATTCATTAATTAAAGATTGTTGACTCATAATTTATTGTTCACTTTAAAATAAAAAAATGACAATAGTCACACAAATGTACATGTGATGATGTTACACATTTAGATTTCAAAAATTTCATTTATTAATCCGTGAAAAATACAACCCTGACAATATAAAATCATAAACATAAAAAAGGAAATAATTAGAAACATGGTACGTAAGGAACTTGGTTTTATCCAGTTTCATTAAAAGCATGTTGTTTATGATATTATTTTATTGATCCCAGCTTCCTTCACTTTTCCAGAGCACAAAAACCCAACAAAAGGAAAAAACCAGACAATTTATGGCCTTTACGAATGCAAGGTATCAAATTTTGATAATAAAAATTACCATGACAACACAAGTTTATACATGTATACATGTATATTAGTTGGTATATTAACTTTTAGTTCAATATTATAATAAACAATTAGTGAAAAAGTTTCTCAAAAAAAATTAAAAGAATTCAATTGGAATGTCGAAGTAGCTGTAGACGATTATTTTAATAATCAACCTAGCACCATCACTTGGAGAGGCTTATCAACTTCTCAAAGTATGAGTTCTGGAATAGATTTAAGAAAACTTGAAGATGTATTTAACAAGTACATAGGTTAGTTTATAGTTAATCAACCAGATAATGAATTTGATTGGTTGATTTCATAAATTATACTAATGTTAACATGCCATATGTATATTACAATCAATTTCTATAGATAGGGATGAAGGCAATGATAAGGATAGAAAAGGAGTAATTTCAGTGGATGGAGTAATAAAATATTGTAATGATTTGGGAGTTGACCCTGAAGATGTTG